GAGTACAGGGGCAGTGGACGTACAGGGAGCGAGTACAGGGGCAGTGGACATACAGGGAGCGAGTACAGGGGCAGTGGACATACAGGGAGCGAGTACAGGGGCAGTGGACATACAGGGAGCGAGTACAGGGGCAGTGGACATACGGGGAGCGAGTACAGGGGCAGTGGACATAAAGGGAGTGAGTACAGTAGCAGTGGACATAAAGGGAGTGATTACAGGGGCAGTGGACGTACAGGGGCAGTGGACGTACAGGGGCAGTGGACATACAGGGAGCGAGTACAGGGGCAGTGGTAGTGGTTAAGGTGTTGGACTAATGAGCAGAAGGTTGTAAGTTCAAATCCTGGCACTGCCACTGCTGGGCCCTCGAGCAAGGCCCTTAACCCTCAACTGTTCAGCTGTATAAAAATGAGATAAATGTAAGCTCTGGATAAGGGCATTTGTCATATGCTGTAAATCTAAACATTCATACAGTGAGTGGGCATTCTCAGTTTCTCTCTTCAGATTAAGAGATTGAAGTTTTCACTTGAATAGAAGGAAGATTCATATGAAAGGGAATGGTAGGAAATGAAAGTCCCGATGCTGTTGAACATCATCTCTTCTCTCTAGAAAAGCTTTTTGTCATGAGGATGCAAAAGCTTTGTCCATCTCTCTTTATTAAATGCTATGTTTTAACAGGCTACTTGTTACAGAGGAAGAAGCTCTACAGCTTCACATCAGAGACTAGGAGACACTGCGGCAAAGCAGCAGCGCAATGTTAATCAAATTTCAACGTATTTCATAGGGGTTTAGTCTATTACATATGTACACCAAATTACACCAACTTAGAGGCAGGAACGTGACGACAGGTGAGGTAGTGAAAAGAGAGAATGACAGGCAGAGAAAGAGTGAAAGTCTTTTCTAAGCTTCTTTCAGATACCCCAGTCATCTGGAGTTAGCAGATAGTGTAGCCTTACATAATAATGAGCTCCTGGCAAAGCAGTGTGTGTGTGTGTGTGTGTGTGTGTGTGTGTGTGTGTGTGTGTGTGTGTGTGTGTAAATGTAGGACTCTCAATTAGCCCAAGCCTTCATTATTGTTCAGAATGAGCAATCATTATGAAGCGGACAGATGGACTCAAGTGCAGGTTTTTGGTTTCAACAAAAAACAGGAAAATAAAAGAGATTAGAAACACAGGAAAGTAAAAGATTGGAAGGTATTTTTGTGCCAAAAATAAAATTTGAATTAAACCTTGAAAATTGAAATGCAAACCACCACTTGCCATTTTCATTGGTACCAAAAAAAAAAAAAAAAAAACATTAAATGAAATAGCACTATTTGCATTTTCCATGTAAACACGCAACATTAGTGTCAAAAATAAAATAAATAAATAAATCAAAACGTCATTTTGTCGAAACATCTCATTTTCTTTATCTTAGCTGTTTTTCATGCACGTAATTCAAATTGAAGCCCTAACAGGAGAAAGAAAATGCAAACTACACTATGACTTTTCATTTTCTTTAAAATGATAAAGAAATATCTCACACCTTTCAAGAAATCTTGGATTATGTACCGTCTTTGTGAATATCCTGCATCAACCTCTACATTCTTTTAGCAGTTTCACAGCAAAATGGGCTCCTTTTTAGTACGTTGACACTCTGTGAGCTCCTCTGCTGTAGTGTGCTGAAGGCATCTTTGAACCGTGGAATAATTTATAACTAGAGCCACCCGGAATCAACTAAATACTGATGGTCTGAATTATGTTTGGGAACAGAACTGGGTCTGATTTACCATATTTAATAGACACTACATCCAGTATGCATTAATGCAATGTAGAAGTATAAATAATGCACATATTAGAGTTGCATTAATAAACTAATCAATTTATATCCATATAGTCTGTATATACTATCTTAATTTCATACAAAACAGTGTTTTCTTTCTATGTGACCCTTTTGGCTTTCCATAGTGCACCATCAGCGTCTGCAGTAGTAATTTCTGCCATACGGTGCCATCCACGTCCGTGTCCCTAAGACTATCACGCAGCACTTCACATATTAAATTAAACAAATTCTTCATCCTGACAAGCTTCCAAAAGCATTAATTCCCTACAGCCATCTCGGTCACGCTGCTGTAGGCGGCAGTCTCGTCCTCTGTGTTGTTTTCATTTCTTTAGCTCGGCATTCGGCGTAAAAGCATGAGTAGGCGTGGTCTAAGTCTTAGCCACGCCCAGAGCTACTCAGCGTATTTGGAGAATGTGAAAATGAAAAGGTAGAGTGGGAAATGGAACGTAAATGTTCGGCAGGTGTCTCTAGTGACCATTTGTGTTTCCCTTTTCATTGTGGCTCGAACAGCGCGTCCACGCTCAACACGGAACCGCATACTTGCGCTTTGCAACTGCATTCATTTGTCCGTTTTATATTTAATTCGAATTTTGTCAGGGATGTAGCCTAATGCTATGAAAACGAAAAGAAGTGTAGTTTGGATTTTCTTTTTCCTGTTAGAGTTTCAGTTTAATGACGGCCACGAAATATCAATATGATGAACGAAATGAAATGACAAAAAGATGTAGTGATCTTGTTTTGATTTTTGACACTAATGTTGCATTCTTACTTAGAAAATTTAACTGCAAATGGCATTATTTCATCTCATTTTGGTGCCATCTTTGGGCACAGATATGGGAAAAGAAATGGCAAATGGAACTTTCAAATTTTCATTTTCATTTTAACTTTGGCACAAATACCTTCTATAGTAATACACTGGATAATCTGAGCAAGATTTTAGCGTCCATGCTATTTAAATTAAGTAGGTGAAACAGGTGAGAGTCATTGGTAATCAGATGACAGGATGTCAAGTGATGATCAGTTTTGAAACAAGTTTTGAAAACACACTCATAAAATCCATCCAAAATCTGTTCCCGTTTGTCTATAAGAACGTTTTAAAAAACGCAGAATAGGTATTAGTGATAAATTGCTCGCTGCTTAAACACAACATCGCCTTGTATAATGTTAGAATTCAGATGAATGTGAAGAAATGCTATAATATGGGCATGACAAAAAGAAGCAGGGGACCTGGTAGTTAAAACTATACAAGAAATACACATTTAGGGGAGTCACTGGTGCACAACAAGAACTACTGGTAAAGGCAAGTTTAAGTTAACTGCTTCATTAAAAGCCTATAACAGGGTTTCATTCTGCAGAGTTAATGCGATCTGCACAGAAAACACCTAGAGAGAGAGGCAGAGAGAGAGAGAGAGAGTAAACAAATAATAACATTTAAATAGATTTTAATTTAAAATTAAAATTAGCGAGAGGGGGAAACAATAATGCAGCAATAATAAAAAGTTGTGAATTTTGAAATAAACTAGGTTCTGACGCAGTATCGCTAAAGATATGTGATAATACAATTTGCTTTTTTTTTTTTTTTTATGCCAACTTGAAATCTGCCAAAAAGCAGGCGAATGGAAATTCACATGTAAAAAATGTGTTGTGAACAAGCAGCAGTTAAGTCCAACACATTAACTACTAACCATGGTACATGGGTTTGGTGACACACACACACACACACACAAACACACACACACATCTAGAGAGAGGATAAGACCTGCACTGTCTAACAATGTGGACGCATTTCACACTTGCACAAAATATGCGGAGGAAACAAAGCTGATAACGTCAGACAAGAAGGTCACCTCACTCTCAGAATAAAGGCAGTAAACTGTACGATTTCTTTTAACATTGTGTACGTTAAAGGAATTTTAAAGGTACATTTTCGTGTCATGTGTACGCATTCCTCATGACATTATGCTACTTTCGTTTTCCCAAGTGAATTATACTTACTAAAGGTAAAAAAGAGACAACCTGGACAGTGGACACCTGACCATCAATCCCATATGTGCTTCTTCCCCAAACATTACAGTTTCCCTTCACTGGAACTAAGAGGCCCAAACCTGTTCCAGCATGACGGTGCCCCTGTGCACAAAGCGAGCTCCATGAAGACATGGTGTGTGAAGGTTGGAGTGGAAGAACTCGAGTGTCCTGCACAGAGCCCTGACCTCAACCCCACTGAACACCTTTGGGATGAACTGGAACACTGACTGCACCCCAGACCTCCTCGACATCCCAACATCAGCGCCTGACCTCACTAATGCTCTTGTAGCTGAATG